GTCTCCTGGGGAGAAAGGCGTGACGACCCAAGTGCGGACCTTCCCCCGTCTCCCCTCCCCCAGGTCCCGGGGTCTGGGCGCCAGCTCCACTCACGTTTCTGGAAAGGAAGGGAGGTGTCAGATTGCACCCCACCCACTAGTGTCTGATGGGCAGCCCCAGACGGTTCCCCGATGTTGCAGTGAAATCGCCAACCTTCCTTCCTACCCACCCCCCAGCCCCGTACTGTTTTTGTTTTAAAAGCAAAAGGATGGAGACCGGGTCCCAAAGCTGGGGCTGTTAATGAACGGGCTGGCGATGGGGACCTGCTAAGAAGGGCCATGAGCATGTGTTTAAATGTAATCCAGGAACAGGGCGACTGGGCAGCGGTCCGGGACTGAGGAGACCAGCTCTCAATCCCGTTAGTCTTCCAGTTCGGGACGTCTCTGGGCGCCGCGCGCCGCAGCCACCTTCCTGGAAAGCTGGACCACGCCAGGCGATCTCCCTGTTCCCTGCTTGGAGACAGGAGGGTCTTCTCCCGCTTTCGTCCAACCCCTGGAATCAGCAAAGCCTCGCCCACACCCCCCTTGGAGGGCTTTGGGACAGGGCATTTCGTTTTTGCCCCGCATCATACAACCGTCTCAGCGGCGGAGCAGACAAGTTGGAAATGCCTGGCTACTTTATTTAACTGCGTTTGCGTGTCCTTTTTTTCCACTTCAGGGTGAAGAGAAATTCATACAAATGTGAAGGTGACTTTCCTCGACCATTTATTTTATTAAGGAAAAAAAAAAAAAAAAAACCCTACAGTGAGCTTATAGAAATGCTTGACACAAACATTCGTCTCGTTTTATGTAGATCAGAACTGTCCAACTTTGATTTTGAGAGACTTTATTTCTTCTGAAACTCTCAGGGAATAAAATAAGGTATTTTGCCTTAAAAAAAAATGTGGTCAGTGTGAGCCACCTAGGAAGAGGCACTTCATGAAATCCTAGTAACAGGAGAAATCCATGGCTCTGCAAAGGGTGGGAATCAGGATGGCTAAGGGGCAGGCTTTTGGAAAGGCAGGGGGACACACTGCATCCAGGGAGTTCCTTCCGGCAGCTTTGAGCTCTCTACTGGCTGAAGACTGAACGGGAGGTGAGTTTCCCATCACCCTCACCACTGTCAGTCTCTTCTCACCTCCCTGCCTGTCATGAACCTCTTGGGTATGTCCAGTGGCTGCCAGTCAGTGTGCTGTTGAGAAGCACAGCCTTGCAGGTCGCTGGCTTCCTTATCTGACTACACAGCAGTTACATTTGGGGCACTGGTACCTTTGGTTTTCTACTGGCCTCCAACAAGCCACCTTAGAAGTAAGTGGGCAGGGCAGGACTTGCCTGCCTTTCTTTAGTTAACAATCCCTTGTAATTTGTTACTAGTAATGAAAACCCAATGTGGCTACCATTTGGATACCAATGCATGAGATTGGTTATGCCTCACTGGATTTAGGCATTTTGGGTAGATGGTTAACAAAGACACACTTCCTAGAACTACTTAGCACTCAAGGTGGTTGAGCATATGTAATTTATGAGTCATGTACATTCTAGTTCTGGGAGCCCATATGATGACCATGGGGTTGAAGATGCAACCTGCCTGCATTGGGCAGAGCTAATTTGAAAGCCCTCCAGCCACAAAGCCCTCCCACATTCTTGGTCATGGGTGTCAATGAGCAGCCGGGCTCTTCTATTGGCACTCAGGGCTGGGACTAGACATGTGCCGGTTACTTCATCATCTTATTTCCAAGGAGTCCTGACCCTCCATTAGCCTGGAGCTTGCCTCGCTGTTGGGAACAAAGAATAGCTCGTATTAAATATTCATTAAATTAAGCTCGTTGTTGTTGTTGTTATGTGCCATCGGGTCAGACCCGACTCACAGTGACCCCTCCTTGGGTTTCTGAGACGGTATCACTATGGAAGTAGATTGCCCACCCTTCCTTCCGAGGAGTGGCTGGTGGGTTTGAACCACCAGCCTTTTGGTTAGCAGTCAAGTGCCTTGGGCACTATGCTACCAGAGCTCAGGCTTCTTTTTAAAATCTCAGTGATTAAGTATGTGTGCTTTTTAAAAATGGGGGAAATGCAATGGCATCACTAGGGTTGGTGTCACCCAGTGCAGTCACTCATGGTGTCACCTCCCCTGCCACCTCCCACACCAGATCATGCAGAATCCTCAGTAATGTTTATTATCAATTTCAATCATAGAATAATATGTGATCGATATAGTTGTAAATTGCTTAAATATAACATTTCTTAAATCATATCAATACTAACAACAAAATTGTTTTCTAAAATGTTCTACAATGAATCACATTAGTTACAACATTAGTAGCTGAGCAGAAGCCTTTTTTAATGTTTTCTCCTTTTCCTTTAATTACTACTTCATTCTCAAAAAAGTTATTGATACAGGTTCACAAATGCTAATTACCACAGTATTACAGTTGTTGTTGTTGTTGTTGTTGTTGTTATGTGCCGTCGAATCGGACCCGACTCATAGCGACCCCTCCTTGGGTTTCCAAAGCAGTATCACTACGGAAGTAGATTACCACAGTATTACAGTTAAGCACCAGAAAATGTGATGGAATCAGTGACAATAAAAACACCAGCAGCAACAAAAGCAACAGCACGTACTTGTAGCTGGTGCAGATGAAACTCTATGATTCAAAGCTTCATTATCATTCAGTAATAACGACAGCTCTGACCGGAGCACATTAGAAGGTTCAAAGAGTAAATTGGCATACAGTAGGTTAGCCTTGCAGGTATATTGATGCATGTAAGATGGGCTGATAAAAAATGTTTTTGTTGTTATATAACAACAGGGATACTTTTATGAAAAATGATAATTTTCTGCTGAAACAATGTGCAAAAATTTTATACACAGTCATTTTGGTGTCATCTCCTCTAACAGTGTCACCTGGTATGGTCCACACATGCCCACACCCGCCTAGTGACACCAGTGGGGTCATGTAATGGTTTATCTGTAAAAAACCATTTTATAAGGAAATTTTTTAAGTAATACTTTAAAAACTATTTTGATTGCCAATCTGACTGTTACTGGGTTTGTATTACAGTCATGGCTTACGGCATATTGGCTCATTCCAGGCTAGGGCAGCCTGTTTTATTCCTCTCTGTTATATAATCCCTTGGCTTATACAGATCCAACTCACATTGGCCGTTCTGATTGATTGCCACATTATGCCAAACTTGATTAAGGAACATCTATGGGTTTCATTTACCAATTTCAAATAGAGTTGACTTTGTTATACTGATTTCCAAAATCTGCCTTACAATTAATTAGCCAGCTTCAGACGCAGTATAACTGGTGGTCTAGGAATAAATTATTTTAAACATATTTACTTTCAGAATCAGGTCTCTAAGACTTTGCTTCTTTATTAGGGCATTTGCTATAGAAAAGAAATGTTTCTCTTTGTTTATCCTGTTTTCTTCTCAGAGCCTAAGTTAATCAAAGCCTTAGGATAGCTTTTATTAAAGAGCAGAAGAGTCTTTTCACAATCCATTTCCCATTATAATTACCCTAGAAATTCAGGATAGAAAATAAAAGTGATACCATCTATCCTATCTCGTCATGGCACAGAATACTCTAATGAATGTTCCAGAATCCTTGGTCTAACATCAAGGTATCATCTTATCAGGGATCCTAGAAAA